ATCACGTCGGTTCAGCGGGTGAAGACCGGCTTTGCAATAACTGCAAAGAATGAACTCGCTCGAAAAGAGCTCCTAGATTCTTCCACATCACGTAGCGAATCTAGAATCAAACTGGAACCAGCATCAAATCTAGTTGCCATGCAAATTGCCACCGTCCCGGAGACAATTCGAACTCTCGATGGCCCCATCGACGTGACGGCAAAGATGGTTGCCGATGAAGTCACGCGAGTGACCGAGTCAATTCCTTTTCTTGTTCGTCCTCACGGGACCAGCAAACCCGGGGCACCATACCAGAACTGGCAAGCATTCTTCCCTCGCGAATCCACGCCCCGACCAGGATTTCGCCTCTTCGATGACTCCGGAGCTGCAAAGCTCTGGTTTAGTTATGACAAATTGTAACGCATTTAGTCGATATGATCATTTGGGTCAGAATAAAGGTGGAGCTGTATTTCATGTAATTACAAATTGATACCTTGTTGCTACCTAATGAAAAAACTACTCAGTACTACATGCATTGAGATCATATCACGTGCTCGGGTTTTCCATTCACTATTTACCCAGAACATGTTGATGCCTGACGCATGTTTAGTGCAGTTGTACAACACCTACACAACTTTTATCAAGTGCTCTTCCAACCTCGTCGAAACGTAGTTCAGTGCAAACGATGTCTCGGCTTCCATGCCACTCGCGGTTGCTCCCGCGATCCGGCTTGCTGGAACTACGGATCAAAAATGCACTCGGAAACGGAGTGCAAAGCCCCCACTCGGTGCCAAAACTTTGGTGGACCTCATCGATCGGACTCACGGTTCTGTAAAACCATACCCAGCATGTTGGGCCCGGTGAAAAAAGAGTAGCTTGCGTTAATTCGCAAAGCCGAGCTGAAAAATCACGCCGATTATGCTCGAATCAAAGCAGCAGCCGAAATAGCCATTCAGGCGATTCACGGCTCAAAGAATGACGTCTAAATGTCGGACTGATCGGGTTTTGGGATTCTGGGATCCAAAGAGGAGGTTTAAGGTTACGGCCAGCCTCAGTGAAGTCGTCGAGGCTTCAACACGTTAACAGTAGGACACCAGCTGGAGAAAGAGTGCCTGCGAGCTCATCTTCTGCTCTCAGCGAAGATCAGAAATTTTCACTTGGAAGATGTGACAGGAAAGGGAACGGTCGAGAAGCGCGGGATCCGGACCTAATTGAGACTTCTTCTGAATTTAATTTATGTTTTTGATTTTAGTTTTGCTGTTAACATCACTATTTATGTGGAAGTTCACGCGGTTGGAATGAGTTAGGCCTTTATACAGTGATCCTTACCGGCTCCACCTATCCTTGTGTTGTGATGGGCATGTTATACAGCTAGGATACTTGCATGTACATAACGTGATTAGATGTTTACGCTGTTTGTGTAGTTCCTGTATCGTTTGGGATATCTGCAGGAGGAAGCTCATGTGGTCAGGAGCGGACTAGCGGCCGCACATGAGTATAAGTAGCGAGTGCTCGGCACACTATTAGCATAGCACAATTAAATACAGTGAACCTCAGATACACCTTCAACTACAACCTGAACTCATCAATCTACATACTCGTACAAGGTCAGCATGCATAGTGACACTAACCTAAGCTCATAACCACAATACCTTGACCTATTGAAAAATGGCATTAGCTTAGGACAAAAATCAGAAAACAAGACAAAAACAACCACAATTTTTGAAACCGATGAAAATTCCCCCAACCGTCTCCTTAACCCTTCAAATCATCATCACTTAAGCTAATAATATCGTTTCTCATAGTGGCAAGACCCCAAACCACCAAAATGGCGATGGGGCCCACGAAAATCACTCGCCCCGCGCGCCAGTTTAAAACAATGGCGAAAATTAAAACCAGGCTATAACAGCGCCTGGATTCATGAAATCTATCGATCAAAACGATAGATCAAGACAAGATAGAGTCAGAGATGACTGAAAGGATGAGAGTCTTCAAGGAAGATTCTAACTCGACGAACCCAGACGAAGAAATGGGTGATGCGGTTATAGACAGCTACATACAAGAGGGACTCAACAGTTCCCGATGGTATGTCGCTCATTAAAATGACGGTCCAGTCTCTGAGACCACCGTCAATCGATTGACAAAGGAGATTGCTGTACCAGCTATAAAGCAGACAGTAATCTCAGGGTTGAAAAAGGTTAATCAAGCCACAACCCCTCAGAACGCCAACCAAACCCCATCAGTGTCGACTGAAAATCAACAACCTTCCTGCAGCGAAAGCAGGAAACAAAAAATCAATGGCTGCCCCCCGAACTACAAGCCATGATTGATGCTGAAGAGCGCAGGGCAGCTCAAGCAGCAAAAAATATAACGATCTACACTACTTCGATCAACGCTGTCGAGACCACGCTCTCTCTTTACTCAGAAGAGTCGAGCGATACGTTCATAGACTCGATGAAGCTATATCTCCGAGCAGCAATTGCTCAATTCTTGAAGTCGGGATCCAGTGCGACCCCCCAATCCATCCTCAGCGCCCGAGCTACCAAGATGAAACAAGATGTCCTGCAGATAAAATTGTCATGAATGCGCTTTTCACATTAGTAGTAAATCGTCATCCACGTAGTGTAGCATGTAGAGTCAGAGAAATGGAAACAGATTATGATGAATTAATTACCACCTATCGCTACACTCACCCGTAGATCACTCCTAAAAGAGACTAGCTACGGCGCTATCTGGAAGTATGTGGGATTGGATAATTATCACGTAGATAACCTGTAACATAACATAACATAACAAAAAGCAATGCTGGCAAAGACGAATTCTTCACCTTCCAGTGGTGCCGGTGTAATCGCTCAGTATGCTCTGCATATCTGGGATAGCGAAGAAGAATCGCATCCGAATCGAAGTCGAAAGCAAACACATGCATATCTCCATTTGACGACTTCTCAATCATGCAGCACTCATCATTATCTTCTGAGTCCTCATCCTCTTTCTAACCACAAATCATCTCGCCTCGACGACCGATAAAGGCGTCGCCCCAATTTCAAACAGGAGCTTGCCTCATTTATCACCGGCCATCACTCACTACAAATTTACGACGCTACGTATACCCGCAAGGAGGAAATTAAGTCATAATATACAAAGTTGGGGTCTTGGCTTATGGTGGACTGATGCTCTAATGGGGCTGTACATCTTGAGGAAGGATAGGCTGCTGAGATGTGGAGCGAGGGGGAAAAGAGGTCTCTGAAAACCGTGTTGGGACTGACATTTTCGAGCAGTTTTCAACTTTGGATCTTTTGTGGGCGCCAAGACTAAGATTACGGCTAATTAGCCAGAAGGGCTTCTTTTGTCGATGAGTCAACGGCACTCCCCAGCACCCTGGACGGCACAAAAGAAGTTGGGCTAAGCTACCAAACAGCAATCACGCTCTGTCCAGACTTTTCTGCCATTTCAGCACGACCTTCGGGAAGGAGTTGGAAGGAGGCTGGTAAGGCAGAGGGTGAATTTTCCGAGGTACCCACAAGTCTGCAGCGCCCAGCTGGCCGGCCTCTTCGAACGCATCAGAAGGATCACTATGTCTTCGGATTTAGTCCTAATGTCGGTATTAGGAGAGCTCCACACCCAGTGGTTTTTGCGATTTTTCTCGGCTGCCATACACCCACAAATGGCCATCGTTTTGTTGGCTGGAGAGGGGAGATAATGAAGGGCAAAGAGCTCCTTTTAGTGATGATCGAATGAGGACTTGTGAATGGCGACACTGCTTTGGGCCCTGGTTAGGTTACGGTTGATTCTTAAGGGTGTATCTTTGAAGTTTATTTTGGTACTGCCTGTTTGTTCATCAGTAAATATGTTTGCCGCTTTCCAGTGTTCTGGATCGGCCGATGCTGGTCGGCCACTCCTGAATGCCCGCTACTTTTCTGCTTCTTTCTGCCTCCCCTTATCCATTTCCCTTCTATCAATCAAATTCGGTTTGTATCCACAAAAAAAGACCCCACGTAGATTTTCGAATTTAGTTCAGTCCAGAGCAAAGAATATAGATTAAAAATTTGCTCCAACCCACACAAAAGACTTTCAAATTAGAAGCTTTCATACGGTATATGCTATGTATGATCTTGGAATCATCTTGACAAAAATTTATGGAACTTTGTAGTAGAATTGAACTTCGTCTGTGAGATATGTATTTGAAGTTATAGATCTTCCATTGCTATTTGGATGCTACCTGGCATGATATGTGTGAAGCTCAACTACTCCATCATATCTTCACTACAGAAAATAGTTGATGCTGCCAAGATCATTTCTAGTAGACAGTTGCATTTGCTGACACTTTTACGTATGCTTAGAGAGGGTTCACTCCTTTCTCAACTGGAAATTTCAAAAAATAGAATATCTGTAAAAATTCCAGTCATCTAGAACCATATATATCGTCAACACTATCAAAGGGCAGTAAGATGATGGTCTAGTGATTCCAGCTTTTATTTAAGGGACCTCTTTCTGGACAATAAGAATTACACAGGGTCGTGTAAGGCCCACAGAGATTCCTAGCCCTGATTGCACTAATCCCCACAGTTCAGCTCCTAGTTCTAGGCATCCAATAAAAGTAACATACGTGCTTAGTCATAATAACTTATCCACGAATGGGGCGAGAGGGGTCATGTTGAGCTATGATAGATACCACACATAAATCAGGGAAGAGCTTCTGATCAAACGCAACGGCTAGCTATTATCATTAATAAAATCTCTGCCAGGATTATTGCACATATCTGATGCCTAACTGAAACTTGGCAGCAACTTAATCTGTCAATTCTATTTAACCTTTCTTCGCAGCTCTTTACAACATACAGAAGAGTCATAAACGTAGTTCAATCTGACATAGAGAATACTCAAGGCCAAAATTATCCTTTCATAACATACTTTCATCTAATTCCCTCTGTCGAAGGCAAAAATACAAACTCAGGTTGGTAACTAGAATTAACATAGTAATATTAGACACAGCCGCTCATTTCATTCTAGAGCTACTGAGAATGGTTACCGCGGACAAGCTTCCTTCATGGGCCAATCTTCAAGAACAACACAATTCCGTGGGTAAATCTTTTGTTCTCAAGGAAGAGTTTAAGAAAGACCCCACTCGATTTGAAAAATTTTCGTTTACATTCTCTAACCCTGCCGACGAGACTGAGATTTTCTTTGACTTCAGCAAAAATTTTATCACTGAAGATATATTGAAGAATTTACTACAAATCGCAAGAGAGGCAAATGTTGAACAACTTCGTGATGCTATGTTTAAGGGTGATAGAATTAACTTTACAGAAGATCGAGCAGTTTTACATGTAGCACTAAGGAATGTGAGAGATAACCCTATATATGTGGATGGAGAAGACGTAATGCCGGGCGTCCGCAAGGAACTGAAACATATGGAGGAGTTCAGTGATGCAGTACGCAGTGGAGAATGGAAAGGCTTTACTGGTAAGGCTTTGACTAACATTGTCAATATCGGCATAGGAGGCTCCGACTTGTAAGTTCTGCCACTCCTATACAAGCATCATAAAACTAATATCATTTGAGGGGTCCAGTTATGGTCACTGAAGCGCTCAAATTTTATGGAGATAAAAAACAGACTTTACATTTTGTCTCCAATATCGATGGAACTCACCTAGCAGAGACTCTTAGTAAATCTGATCCAGAAACAACTCTTTTTCTCGTGGCTTCAAAGACCTTTACAACTGCTGAAACAATAACCAACGCAAATAGTGCTAAAGAATGGTTTTTGAGGGAGACCAACAACAGCGGTGACATCACGAAGCATTTTGTTGCTCTATCCACTAATGAGCCCGAGGTTACCAAGTTTGGTATCGACTCCAAAAATATGTTTGGCTTTGAGAGTTGGGTTGGCGGTAGGTACAGCGTTTGGTCGGTAATTGGTTTATCAATAGCTATCCACATCGGTTTCAAGCAATTTCACGAGTTTCTCCAGGGTGCAAACGCCATGGATCAACATTTTCTTGAGACACCCCTTGAAAATAATATTCCTATAATAGGTGGGCTGCTGAGTGTCTGGTACTCAGACTTTTACGGGGCTCAAACTCACTTGGTATCTCCCTTTGATCAGTATCTTCATCGATTCCCTGCTTATCTTCAACAACTTTCCATGGAGTCTAATGGTAAGGCAGTTGCCAGAAGCACTAATAACTTCTTGAAATATACCACTGGCCCGATTCTTTTTGGAGAGCCGGCTACCAATGCTCAGCACTCTTTCTTTCAGCTGCTTCACCAAGGTACAAAGCTCATTCCTACAGATTTTATTATGGCAGTAAAGTCTCATAACCCGATTGAAAATAATAAACATCAAAAAATGCTTGCATCGAATTTCTTTGCCCAAGCTGAAGCTTTGATGGTTGGAAAAGATGAGCTTGAACTTAAAGCTGAGAAGACACCTGAGGCTTTGTTGAAACATAAAACTTTCCTTGGTAATCGACCAACAACTTCAATTCTCGCTGACAAAATAACGCCCGCAACACTGGGTGCTTTAATCGTGTACTACGAGCATTTAACCTTTACTGAGGGTGCCATCTGGGACATCAATTCATTCGACCAGTGGGGGGTCGAACTTGGAAAAAGTCTAGCAAAAAAAATTCTAGGTGAGCTGGATGGCGAAGAAGGAACCCAAGTACATGATAGTAGCACAAGCGGCTTAATTGCTGAATTCAAAAGAAGGATGACAAAAATCTGAGGCACTAAATTTTACATTCATATGCACTATGACTAAATGTTACACTATGTTATTATATAAATAAATAAAAAATAAGTTAACATCAAAGTCTCTTAATGATAACATAACTAATAACGGCTCTTTCAAATATTCAATAACTTTAATTCTATCAACTGTTGGGTCACTATAAGCGACTTTATTATACACTTGAGCAGGTCAGCAAAACTACTCCCTAATTTTAATCCTGCCAATCAGCATCTAACTTGCAGTTTTTGCGATACAAATACCCGTATTTATCGTAGTAAAAACTGTGGACGAATAACTTTCAGATCATTAGCATATAAAGGCTTTAGGATTAAAGGCTGCAAAGTCGGACTATTCTTGCGCCTTAATCTAATAAGATTTCTCACTATCTAGGAGAAACAAATTAAAGCTTTATTTTTAAATAATTAAAATATAGGCAGTTTCTTTCATATAGATTATAGAAGTCCTCCAAAGGCATAGACTAAGATGCTACTATAATAAAATCTGTTAGAATTTAGAATATTTATTTTACTTATTTATTTTTTATGTCTATCGAAAGCACTCTGGATATCGAGCGTAGCGAGAGTGCAAACTTGCTTTTTTTTCCATGCTTTTTCGACATCGTGAACCAAACATTCTACGAGATCCATGGCAGACCTTCCAGGTAGCGCTCCGAGATGCGTCGTGGATATAACGCGATTTGATAGGGCCCATAATGTAAAGCTTCTAGCAAGAAGACGTTCTAATACAAAGAGATGGATCTTGAGGAAGAGGAACGTATCTAATGTCGTGAATTACAAGGAGTTATACTTAACTATATTACAATGAGACTGGATGCAGTAATGAAAGAACGCCTGCACGTTAAGACACTTGCACGTGATGCACAATTACAACACGTTCCAGCCTCTACTAGAGGACCGGGAGAAGTGAAATCGGTCGCCAATCTGCGGGGTTAATGAGGTCATCCTTGTGTGGTTTAGGAATAACCACCACTTCGGCGCGACGGAAGATGCTGGGATGGTGACCATATGCCAGGCAGAGGCTGTAAAGATTAACAATCTACGAGCGCCATGTATCTGCTCCCCATACCAAATGGAGAGCTGAGATAGAGAAATGGTCATGTCCCGGTGTAGTTGACGAAACCTCCAGAAGACAATGGCGCACTTCATCTTCATTTATTGAGAGAGGCGCGGGGATTTCACGCAGTGGGCAAGTAGGGGTATTCATTGGTATATCTGGTTGACCAATTGTGCGGGCAAGCTTAGTTCAAAAGAATATATCTGCACCCTCGATCGGAGTGCTATATGTGACACCCTGAAATTGAACTGGAGGGGGGCCAAAGCGACTAGATAGCTTCCGTCATCCAACAACTTTATGGGCGTCTAGGATCAAAGACACATTATCCAACTTGAAGCACTTATGTTCTCGTTTAGCTCGTCTTACAGATTTCCGGAAATTATTGTGTGCCTCACTAATGAGATCTTGATCACCGATATGGCGGGCTTCGAGATACCGGCGCCCTTGGTCTCAGCATTCGTGGTTCCAATAATCTTTGTGTGGAACGCATGCACGCCTTGGAGGGTTAGCTGCAAGCAAAGTTGCCGAGAGAGCGGCGATGCCCGATGAAGTCACCGCGTCCAGGCTTTGGAGGGATGGGTCCTCAAGGGGAAGAGTAGGAGGTGCGGTAGCGGAGAGGGCTATACGAAATGTCTCAGCGTTCTCATCGTTGAATTTGGGTAACTTCGGCATTACGTGACGCCTTTGAGATGACAAGAGTTGAACGAAGCCAGATACTGTCTCATGATCGGAGGTTGAATGTGCCTCTAGAGCCACACGAGCTGAAAGTCCTTCCATGTTCGTAAGTACTAAGTCGAGTACGTGGCCGGCGCGATGGGTGGGATCTCCGTAAGGCAATTCCGACTTCAAAGAATAGTTATCAATCCAATCAACAAAGCTGCTGACGCCAGACGAACGGCTAACATTGGGCTCCCATAATTCGTGGTGGAGGTAAAAATCTCCGACAATTACGGCATTCGGTTTGATCGGCCAACTTGGGAGTGCACCGAGGCTCTCAGGCATAAGAGCTTGAGGTGGGCGATATACATTTGTGACCTCTACAGGAGAGCACCGGAGACTGAGGGCGATGATATCAGGCGAGAGACCACAATCCAGCTGGATAGGACGGAGGTTTGATTTCTTTCGTACATAGGTCATAACGCGCGGGCGCGCAATTTTCCAGTCACGATTAAGAGGAGTGAAAATAACGTAGGCCGGATGGGACTTGGTTACGCTCTTTTAGTTTATTGTTTTTTTCCAGGGCTCTTGGATAAAGATCACATCATACTTGCCCTGAAATGTGGCTTGCAGAAGGATGAGGTGAGAAGATCCACCACGCCCAACGTTTGCCTGGAGGAAACGGAGGCAAGGCGGGGGATTGCTCCTGAAATAGGCTCTATTACTCATAGGAATTACTTTTAGAGGTATTGATGGTGACTTGCTCATCTAGATCTACATCCATAGAACCATCTGAGGCAAATGCAAATAGTGTGAAGCTGTTCTAGCTGGCAGAAAGCGTGCGTTGAGAAGGAACGGAAGGAACTTTTGACGAGAACCGATGGACTATAATTTAGGATAATTAGGGCTATCAGATAGGCTACGTTGCTATACACACGTGACTACTAATTCTGGACTTAGGTTCACTTCGGTATTTATAAATTCATTTTATTGTCCTGTCTGAGTCTATGACTATGTAGGACATGCAGGTCCTCTCTGCCTACAGGCCAAAGATACCTATACCCAGTAGTATATCCCTTCCTATGCCTCCCATACAGCTCCCCTCAAACAGTGCCACCCCTCACAAGTCCTCATTCGATCATCACTAAGAGGAGCTCTTTGCCCTTCATTATCTCCCCTCTCCAGCCAACAAAACGATGGCCATTTGTGGGTGTATGGCAGCCGAGAAAAATCGCAAAAACCACTGGGTGTGGAGCTCTCCTAATACCGACATTAGGACTAAATCCGAAGACATAGTGATCCTTCTGATGCGTTCGAAGAGGCCGGTCAGCTGGGCGCTGTAGACTTGTGGGTACCTCGGAAAATTCACCCTCTGCCTTTCCAGCCTCCTTCCAACTCCTTCCCTAAGGTCGTGCTGAAATGGCAGAAAATTCTGGACAGAGCGTGATTGCTGTTTGGTAGCTTAGCCCAACTTCTTTTGTGCCGTCCAGGGTGCTGGGGAGTGCCGTTGACTCATCGACAAAAGAAGCCCTTCTGGCTAATTAGCCGAAATCTAGGTCTTGGCGCCCACAAAAAATCCAAAGTTGAAAATTGCTCGAAAATGTCAGACCCAACACGGTTTTCAGAGACCTCTTTTCCCCCTCGCTCCACATCTCAGCAGCCTATCCTTCCTCAAGATGTACAGCCCCATTAGAGCATCAGTCCCCCATAAGAGCATCAGTCCCCCATAAGCCAAGACCCCAACTTTGTATATTATGACTTAATTTCCTCCTTGCGGGTATACGTAGCGTCGTAAATTTGTAGTGAGTGATGGCCGGTGATAAATGAGGCAAGCTCCTGTTTGAAATTGGGGCGACGCCTTTATCGGTCGTCGAGGCGAGATGATTTGTGGTTAGATAGAGGATGAGGACTCAGAAGATAATGATGAGTGCTGCATGATAGAGAAGTCGTCAAATGGAGATATGCATGTTTTTGCTTTCGACTTCGATTCGGATGCGATTCTTCTTCGCTATCCCAGATATGCAGAGCATACTGAGCGATTACACCGGCACCACTGGAAGGTGAAGAATTCGTCTATGCCGGCGGTTCACCTCGGTAGTTACTTGAATCAACGCGCTCTACAACCTCAATAACTCAGGGGTCATTATTACCTAATTACATATACTATTCACGCCAACGATTAATTCCACTACCATAGTAGAGAAGTGATCAATCCTATTTTTACCAACAGTATGATCGAATCAGGACTTGCGAGGGGTGTGACTGTTTTAGGGGAGCTGTATGGGAGGCATAGGATGGAATAAACTTCTGGTATAAGTATCCTTGGCCTGTGGGCAGATTGGACTTGCACGTCAAACATAGTCACAGGCCTAGAAAGGACAATAAAATGGTAAATGTAAAACTTAGAGAGGTCTTCGTATGATTGTCACGTGAATAGTCAAAAGATGAAAGCGAATACAAGAATGAATTGATTTATGTTCTCCGTGCTACGATGGACTCGTAGCACTATGACATCTAGTTCGACCATATTAACGCCCCTGATCACAGTGCATCCGACACTATAAACACCGCCATGGTTGGATGGTCCGGTGGTACATCGTCTTGGCCAGTCTGCCGAGTAGAGTCTTGATAGCTTGGACATTTATCCCACTCGAGATAGTAGATCGCTGGTTCAAGTTCAGCAAAACACAACCACATATCTCGCGGCGCTGGTGTGCATGGATGACGAAGGCATTCTTGGATAACCAAAGGTTTTGAGATTCCCTTTGGTGGGTACTTACGGAGGAGGGTTGACTGTTTGTGTAAGCAAGCATACCTCATAGTGGTATTTGCGAATGAATCCAGAGTATGAGTGTCTCTAACGTCAAAAGAGTCATCCAACATGTATACATAGCACCGGTCATGTGTCACAGCTCTATAGCTGAATACACATTAAATGATTAAAAAAAAAGATCACCATTACTAGTCTGACATGCCTGCACGCAGATCGTGCTTTCGCTTTTGGACTAGATCCAGACTTACGCAAGCATAAGTCTGCTTACAATAAATGATAATGTTAAAACCTTAGTCCTTAGATTGTATAATGATCACTTTAAGGAGTTCTAATACAATAGATGGAAGGTAAACTTGTCTGTGAAATCAACTCGTTAGGAGTCTATATAAATTACATAATGAAACGAATCCAACAATCAAGATTTACATCTTGAGTGCGGGTCCGTGCACTCTACCAAAACAACTCAATAACCGAGTGATAAACAAGCTAA